GATTCTAGAACTATGATTAGGACAGTAAAACATATACCCTTTGGACTTCTCTGGGTAACCAATAAAGTAACCACTCACAGTTCGAGAATCCAATTTCTTTTCATGTGGGTTGTATACTCGTGCTTCTGCTGGACAACCCCAAACATGCAGGTGTCTCAAACTAGGTTTCCTTCCAGTCCATAACTCAAAAGGAGTTTTAGGAACTGCCTTACTAGGAATCCTATTTAGCAGATACACGGCAGTCTTAAGTGCATACATCCACAAAGATTTGGGTAAAGATGTATTACTGATCATACTCCTAACCATATCAATTAATGTTCTATTTCGCCTTTCCGCTACACCGTTTTATTGAGGTGTGCCTGGCATAGTATACTGTGCACATATGCCATGTCTTTCAAGGAACTTAGCAAATGGACCGAGATTTTGTCCCGATTCATCGTACCTTCCATAGTATTCACCACCTCTATCAGCCCTTACTATTTTCACCTTTCTGTCTAACTGTCTTTCAACTTCATTAATGAAAACCTCAAGTGCATTTGCAGCTTGAGATATTTCCTTCAGCAAATAGACATAACCATAATGTGAAAAATCGTCTATAAAGGTAATGAAATACTTTTCTCCATTAAAAGATGGAGCATCAAAAGGTCCACATATATCGGTGTGTATAATTTCAAGAAGCTGATTACTTCTTGTGGCCCCTTTCTTGTTATGTTTGGTTTGCTTTCCCTTAATGAAAGCCACACACAACCCAAGATCGGTAAAATCCTGATCCAAAAGAATATCATCTTTCACCAACCTTTGCATTCTTTCTTTGGATACATGACCTAAACGTTTATGCCACAAGAAAGCAGAGTTCTCATTTGCTACACCACGTTTAATTCCAATGTTTTGATGAACACACATTAAAGATGCAGAAAAATCAACATCAAGTTTCAGTTTATATAAACCATCCATAAGAATTCCAGAACCAATAACGGAATCATGTTTATCAAACAAACTGAAACATCCATGTCCAAACTTAAAGGAAAACCCAAGAACATCAAGTCTAGAAATAGACATTAAGTTTCTAGAAAATGAAGGTACATAGAGAGTTTGTAAAAGATCCAGGTGGTGCCCAGAATCTAAAACAATACGATAAGTCCCTCTTCCTTCAATTGGGGCCTTCATACGGTTCCCCATGAACAAGAAGTTCTCATTTGGGTTTATGCTCTGGATTGTAAGAAATCCCTGCATCACATTGGAAACATGAGTTGTAGCACCAGAATCCAACCACCAAGTATTTGAAGGAACTTCAGACAAGTTTGATTCGAAACATACAAAGATATTAGAAATACCTTTCTTTTCAAACCAAGACTTGTGTTTCAGGCAATCTTTCTGTACGTGACCTTCTTTTCTACAGAAATAACATTTATTTGCCCGATTTTCCTTCTTTTCATCATTATTGGCCTGTGAAACTTTAGCAGGTCCTTTCTTCTTAAACTTGTTGGATTTCGGTTTGAGATCATTATTTTCTCCATGACTCACAAGGTTGACTGTATGAACTCCTTGTGCCTTAAGCCTCGTCTCCTCCTGAACGAGCTTACTGGCCAATTCATTAACATCCCACTTATCCTTAATAGTGTTATAATTAATTTGAAAAGGCCCATATTTAGGAGGCAACGAGTTAAGCATAAATTGCACCAGAAATGAGTCATCCACATTCATGCCCAGGGACTTAAGCCTTGCTGCAAGATTAGTCATGTCAAGAACATGTTGCTGCATACTACGCGACCCATCATACTTCTTGGTCGTGAGTTCAGCCATAAGTGTTCCTGCCAATGACTTATCCGCGGAACGAAAACGCTCTTCCACAAGCAAAAGATATGCTTTCGCATCCACATTATCGGGAAGAGTTGACTTAATGTTGTTGGCAATCGTCATTCGCATAAAGCTCAAACATAATCTGTTAGACCTGTCTCAAGCCTTACGGTTTGATTTCTCAGCCTCACTGCTTTGATCATTAATATCAGCGGGCTTCTCTTCAAGCAGAGCCAAGTCAATATCCAAAACACCTAAATGGAAGTTGACTTGCTCACGCCATTCAGAGAAATTCAAACCATTGAAGACAGTAACAGAAGAAGCTTGCGAATGAAGAGAGATAGCTGCACAATCATAAACGCTCACTTAATTAATAGATTCAGATAATACATTCATCACATATATTGCAGGTCTCCTTTGGGTAAACACAACAATATATATCATTATCATAAGTCGAATGTCATTTAACACTTAATGAGAAATTAAATAAACTTCGCCTAACATATATAGTATCTTTGGATATCTACATACACTCGACAAAGAATGTTATATTTCTCCTTAATGTTTATTAGTTATAGAACATTGATTCACTTTTGGGTAAATCCATAATTTCTAACAACCAATAAACTCATTATTTTAAATAATGACATTCTCGAGAGAACATAAGTTATATGACCAAATATTAGAAAATCAATCCGGTCACTTTGGTGACTAACAAATTAATTTTATCATAATGTCATATAATAAAATTATAACCATAAATTATATGACTGGACATTAAAAGTTAATTAGGCCACTTTGGTGACTAACTAATTAATTTTATCTTAATGTCATATAACAAAACATTCATAACGATAAGATTATATGACCAAACATTAAAAATTAATAGGTCACTTTGGTGACCAACAAACTAATTTTATCTTAATGTCATATAATACAATAACAAATAACCCTTATAAACATGATGGGAATTTGTGTATATCTCATAATAATCATTCAGACATATATCAAAATAAATTAGTATATGCTCGCTTCATGAATTTGTTTATACCTTTAAAGCTCCAAAGTAGATAAGGAACAAATCATCATTAATTGAATCATCATACTTTATTATAATTCACTAATCATCATATAGTCTGCTTGAGTTCATGTGAGCAACATATGTGGAACCTTCACACAATTATACATAAAAAAAGGTTCGGATTTCGATTCACAATTCAATCTAATTCATGTTCAAATCCTCATTAAAATCCCCAAAAAATAAAGTTGCAATTTGAACAATCAAAAACCATCATGCCCAGCACATTAATGCAACAGAGAGAATATAATTCCTCACCAATTAATCATTAGACATAATAGCATATACTGGAAAACAATAAATAATATACCAATATCACACGGCGGAATAGATAGCGGAACAGGTAATGGAACAGATCTATTCAATAGACTTTATATCATCATACCGTAACTATACATTCAATTATTTATTCACAACACATGCTCTGATACCACATGTAAAAATCATCAAAGATCTTGAATAAATAATTTGTGTATACGAAATGCTTACTTGATGCGGAAGACGACATAATTTGTGATCTTGATCTTGATGATCACACGAGGTTGAATTAATTGGTAGGTCTAAATCAGTTTCTCCCTCCTGACCGTTCCTTAATGTAGCAGAAAAGTGATGGGATAAAACTGCGTACCCTAATAGGAGGAGAGAGGATTAATTTATATAGGGGTGTCTTAACAGAAAAATGATGGGATAAAACTGCGTACCCTAATAGGAGGACAGAGGACTAATTTATATAGGGGTGTCTTTAGATCTGGTATGTCCATCAAATATCCAGATTAATGGCTTAGATTTGTTTGACTATTAAATAAGGTCTGGCCCAATAGGATAATTAAATGTGAGTCCAATGCTTTCGGGCCACATATTCTTACATTGACCACCTGATTCGTTCAACCTGATCGACCGGTTCATTGTATGTGCTATTCCGGGTATGGTATCCAATATAAAAAATATTATTATTTACTTGTCTTTTATTTTTAATTCTTGAGTTCGAATGAGTTCGAACAAACAAATCTCAATTGAAAAAAAGAAAAAAGTTCATACACAAAATTCTGATGACGAACAACTACACTAACGAGCTCAATCACCATTTTTTGTTCACAAAATGAATGAACGAAATTCTGATGACGAACAACTACACTAACGAGCTCAATCACCATTTTTTGTTCACAAAATGAATGAACGAATAAGAACGATGTTCCAACATAACTAGACACACGAGCTCGAAATGTTCAATTTGTTCAGTACGACTGTAACACTAATCATTGCAATGTGGAGTAAGTTTCACATAAATAATAGTTAAGGTGAATAACAATATCACAATATATGAAGATAAAAGTACAGATGGATACATAAATTTATTTGCTTTATTGTTCATCGAGATTTATCCCATTGAAACTGGAAATTAAATTAAAAGATTTTACAAGAAAAACTATTATTCACTTCATCCCACTTTTTTCTCTACAAATCTCATTTACAAAATTAGACAATTATTAATATTAGAAACTATACTAATGTATTTCCATCTTCCAATAGCATCAATTATTATACTACTATTTTTATATCAAAATAATTTTAAAATCTCATTTTAATCTCCTGTCCATTTGCCTTATTGGCGCATTTTTATCTCATACACATTAATATCTCAAACTTATTAAACAAGTTTTGACTAGCTTTCCACCTTTTTTACAACCTTCAATACATATGTCGTCATTAAAGGCTTGTGATACACTCTTACCTTAGTACAGAATTAAAAGTCTTACCTAAATACAAGATCATGTCCAGATTTCACACTCAATTACTTGAACAGGTTTTGCTCACTATGCTCATGAAAAGTTATTCGAAATAAAGGGAAAGGCAAATATAAATAAACAGTTACTCCCAGGTTCCGTATTTCAGGCACACAATGGATATCACCTCCAACAAATGTGTGGAATAGAATCTCCGGTAGAAAGCAATCGGCAACACGAGCATAAATTCAAGAATGAAGATCCCACCATTTAAATATCAATGAAGTCAGTTCAGTTTCAGAAATAGTGCTAATGTCCCATAAAACCAGCATCATGAGAAAACCTATGGCTACAGGAAATTCTGAACTTGTCTTAGAACATTGATCAATTTCCAGTTACATTTAACACTTGATTTCCTTCAAGCCATGGGAAAAGTACAAGAAAGTCGGATCAACTGCACCTTCCTTGTAGTAGGCAAACACCAGAGTGCTGTCATCATGCATGCTCTCCCCCACAAAACTACATAGGAAACAAAAAAAAAAATAAGAATAAACAAATTTAACCAAAAGATGCGATAGTTTTGGACAAGAATTCAAGGAATCGTTTGATAAAATAGTTAACACCCAAGGTTCACGGCTAAATACAAAAATCCAATTCCTAACAAAAAAAAAAAAAAATAGTGTTTTTCCATTTCACATATCATACCTCAAAGTTTGCTTCCTTTTTCAACATTTATATTTTTTTGGTTAACCATGATTTCGTAAATCTATTGATGCATGGTAAGGAGAAAAAAAGTTATTAGGATTCTACTTTCCACTTACAATTGAAGGTCTTTGATCTTTGAGAGCAAAAACTTGGTGGCCCCCTCAATGGTCTTCTTGAAATGCTCTTGCTTCTCGCCCTCCAGCTTGGCCGACAACAACTTGATGTACTTCTTGATGTAAGCCACAAAGGTCTTCTTGTCAAAAGGAGGTTGCTCCTATTAAAAACAAAATGATTAGAAACAAAAAATAATAATGGTAATAATAAGGAACACATAAGTCGATTGAGATCTTGATGACAATTGAACCTGTAGCCTAAATGTGTCGACAATGTCAACAACTTTAACGGCTTGGTCATCAACACCTTCATCCTCCTCACCACCTTCGGCAGAAGGGTTTGCGCCAATGTCTACATCCACAGCTCCCTTAACAACCCACTGATAAATAACACAAAGAAAATCACAATTTAAAATCTCGTGAACTTTTATACATAGAGGAAAATAAAGTAAAATTAAAAACATATAATGAGGTGCATTATTGACTCAGTACCTTTCCTTCGACTTCCCAAAGGGCTCCATTCTCGATTTCCTTGTAGGGGAAAGAGTCCGACAGAAGTTCATCTCCTGATAATAGTAATGCAAAGTTAATAACAGTGATATTTTGAACACAATATGAAAAGAGATGAAAAGCAGAGAAAACACGCAACATTATAGTTTTCCTAAAACATGTAAGCTAACAAAATTCAGCACCATAGTAATGCACAGAGAAGACGCAACATGTAAGTGCAGCAAGATTCCATTTTTAATATATTTGTAGAATAATTAAACCTATAACGATCTCAACAATAACACTTGATACAAATTCACGGGATAACATATGATAGCAACAAGGAATATCATCGATGTAGCAAAACAATAAGCAAAGAGAAATATACGAAATTCACAAAATCCATTTAACATGGGCAAGACTAGAGCTAGATCCAGAAACAGACAGAGCTAATATGGAGATGAAACTCAGATAAAATTACAAACAAACACAACAACCATAAATCCGATCTTTGCAGTAGAAGACCAGATGCTTTTGGCAAAATTCGAACGCCAATCACCTACAGATCGCAAGAAATACAGTCTTTTGAAAACACTATCCTCAGTAGGAGTAAACGCTAACTATGAATTTTAAAGGGTAAATTAAGTTCCAACAGCATCACGACGTACCAGAAAGTTGAAGCTGACAGACTGATCTAAGCTTTATAGAGAAACCAATCGTATAAATTATAAGCAACACAAACAATTTAATTTAGTAAATTCAGCCTCCGTAATCGAGGGATCGAAAACCCATCCACACAATCAACACTAACTTAATAACGAATGAAATCTATCATAAACATCCATGAACAGATCTAACTGCATGCATTAAAAGGAGGGAACAGATATAAACAAAGAACTCAACGCAGATATTCTCGCTCTGTAACGGAAGGAACTGGATTACCTGTGAGCAAATCTTGATAGACTAACATGATTACAGAAACTTGAACTCTCGGTCGATTTCAATGGAAAAGAAAGCAGGAGATTCGGGAGCCGGTGAGACAGCGAGAGGGATTTCAGTGAAGGGAGACCGCAGCTATATATATGTGGAGGGTTTGTGGGCGTGGGTGTGGGTGTGGAATTACGAAACTAGGCATGTACTGTACTCGAAGTCAGAGTCTTAAAGTGGGTTTCGTAAGCCACACAAGCTAACTTAGACGCGGTCATGAGCCGCCGGTCCTGTCAAACTCGTTGACTACGGGTCTGGGTCTGGGTCTGGGTCTGGATCGAATTTCAATTGGGTCGGTCTAGGGTCTTGTTTTTGTCAACCTAGGTTTGAGCCGGTTCAGTGCCCATAAAACCCAACTCGTTTGCCCGGGCCCAACCCATGCTTTGGTTGTTAGTGTTGTATACTAAACGCTTGGCTTTTGATGATATTACACTTTTGCCCTTTATGAATGAGAATCATATTCGATTAAACAAGTTTTATGTTCTGTTGTTTTCTACTTAGATAAAATGGGTCATAATCGGGTGAACAGAAGATCATTCTATAAGTTACTTGCGAAACAAAAATTGTGGTTCACAGACTAAATGGAAATGAACACCCCATCAGAACGGTTGTAGTGTCAACGACAGTGTTCTAAAAGTCGCTAGGCGCCCGCTAGGTGCTCGACCAGTGCCTAGAGTTTGGGCAGGACCTAGGTGGCGCCTAGTCGGGACCTAGAAATCAATATTAAATGCGTTATTTTTTTATTTATTTTTAACTACTGCAAAATAAAACTAACTCAACCTATACTATATCGACACACTTAAGTCCAAATAATATTTTAAAGAAAACATGAGAACAAAATAATGCAATTAGTATTAAAAAAAAAAAAACTAAAAAATTGTCGTTGAGCCCGTCTAGGAGCGCCTAGGTCCGCCTATGCCCGCCTAGGCGCCGCTTAGGTCGATTTTTAGAACAATGGTCAACGGGTACAGTTTGTCTTGACTGATTAGTTACACTAGTATATTTATGTATTGAACATGATCCTAGAGAGAAAAAGTCCGTTTTATACTAATCGTCGTAAACGAACTAGGCCTCGGTTAATTACAACGTTCTCTTAACCCGTAAGATATTAAACAGACATATATAGACATTATATATTACTTTTTCACTTTGGTGATGTTCAGTTCACTGGACTAATATTCTTACTGTCTTGGTAATATTGTTGTATGTATGATGTGCTGTTAGGATATTTACAGTCATCATGTGCGTTAGTTTGATGATGTTCCCGAAGTGAGTTCATAAATGATTGTTATGCTAAACCTTACAGGTGGATTAAATTCTGACATAATAATAATCCGATTGCCCAATCGATTTGTGTTCGTCGGAAAGTCTTCAAACTTAGTCTCGAATAAACAAGAATCGGATCCTTGGATGTTTGATGAGGTACTCAAAGACAAGGATGTAGATTCGTGGCAAAGTGCAGTGAAAGTTGAAATGGAGTCTATGGGCTCAAATAAGATCTCGGATCTTGTAGAACCAACCAATGAGGTACAACCTATTGGATGCAAGTAGGTTTACAAGAGAAATAGAGGATTGGATGGAAGGGTGGATACCTTCAAGGCTAGGCTTGTTGTAAGAAGATATACTCAAAAATAAGGAATCAATTATGATGAAACCTTTTCACTAATAGTTATACTCAAGTTCATTTGGATTCTCTTGGTTTTTGCCGCTCATATGGATTATGAGATTTGGAAAATGGATGTCACTACGACTTTCCTTAACGGAAGTCTTTAAGAGGACATCTACATGTAGCAACTATTAGAGGCATGTTGTAAAAGCTCGTTTTGTAGATTCTATCAATTCTATTTTGATCTGACAATCATGTGTTAATCAAAGTACATATGCTTGTAGTTATTTAATTATGCATCTTACTCCTTGTCTTACATTGAGATAGTATAGTTCATGGTGTCTCGAACAGAAAGTTAATCTATGGTTCCTTGTAAGAGTAAAATAATCTTTCACAGTCTAGACATGCATTGAGACGCCACTTGAAAAAAGACTGTAGTGTGTTCCGGATTCAATTTGTCTTGACTGAAAGTTTGCACTAGTACTTATGATAAGTATTGAACAAGACCGAGGAATGATAAAATTATGAGACTCATTGATCGCAGTTGTAATCTAGACTTTTGGTAATTGATGCGTTCTGTAAAGTCGTAAAATAATATAAAGCTGACATATATATTCATTACTTGTTTATTTGATTCACCAAGACTATTCCTATTCTGTAAGGATGACATACTCGGGACTTTGGTAAATAAAGATGTTTATAAGATGTGTTGTTATAAATTATGTATGGACACTATGTCCTAGTGCACTGAGTTGATGACATCCCCGAATGAGCTCAGTGAAGAATATTATGTCAACTCCTGCAGGTAAATGTGTATCGGACATAATGGTTAAAGATCTGAGTGGTACTAGTTTCAGAAATGAATAAGAAGTTGATTAATTATTTTGTCAGTAATTTAATTAATCAATGAACGTTATATCTTAAATCGGTCAATTAAATTAATAATTAATTAATCAAGTGGAGGTTCGAATTTATTGAATATATGAAGTTCTTGAGCCAAATTGCCTTTTTCGTTGTGGTCGTGACATACTCAACTTCCTTGGTGGAGTCTGCTACGGATTTTTGCTTTACACTCAGCCAACTATAGCTCCACCTCTTAGAGTAAATGCATACCCTAAGGTAGAATTACTTTCATTCCGATCTGACTGGAACTCAGAATCAGTCTAATCCATATGGAGCAATTGGCTCACATGGTAGACAAGCATATAATCGTTGGTCCTCTTCAAGTATCTGAGTATATGCTTTATCACGGAACAATATCACTATCCTGGGTTACTTTCATATCTGGTCACCATGCCCACGGTATAACAAATAGCCAGCCAGTCTTTGCATAAAAAATCGTCCTCTATGTCTTGAGTTGTTTTGGGAGCTCTCCTTTGATAAAGGGACCCCATACCGAAAAGGTAAGAATTGTTTGTTTTTATCTTCACATGATGTAAATTGAATAATGAGATAATTTATCCATCTCTGCATACAATTGATTTATTTATTTATTTTTGGTGCAATGAAAGAGTACAAAACGCTTAAGCTAGTACGTGTCTAGGGTACGAAATCCCCCTACTGTCGTGATTCATCCACTCTTCTAGGCCTGGGGGAGGGACTGTAACACGCTGAAGATACCAAACGGGTTGGTCGCCGCTAGACGAGCCAAGTGATCCGCCGCAAAGTTTGTTTCCCTGTGCACGTGTCGAATCTGGAGTGTCCAATCTCATTGAAAAGAGATTGATTGATTCAATTGTCCAGGCGCGATGATAATTGCCCTAATGGTTTGGGCTGAACTGATCAGTCATCATATCATATGATCACTATGGCTATCAGAATGAATGAGACTTTTTTTTGGTTAACAAAGAGTATTTGTAATAAACTACGTAATCTGATTGAATAGCCCTGATCATTGCGTCATTCACCCCAAACATACAATTGATTTATTAATCTATTGAAACTGCATTTCACGATATGCGAACAAATATCATAAAACAATTCAGGTATTTTCAAACATGTTTTTTATTAGTAGTCTTTTTTTTTTTTTTGAAAAAAAAAGGTTATTTCACACTTCATTAAAATATAATATAGAATATTTTAGATAATAATTCGACTCATATTATATAACATCCTAAGTGTTTCAATCTATAGTTTTACATATTTTTGCACAATAATTTTCATGTAGGATTTTCACTAAGTTAAATTTAGGTAAATTGTACAACTCCACATTTTTAATTTATATATACTATTTATTATTGCCCAGGATTTATACTAGCTAACAAAATAGACCAAAAGTATTGTGGAATATCAAAATGTAGGTAGGATACGTAGTCCCAAGAGTACATGGAAGTTAGTTGATGTTCTAAACAACACAGTACATAGAGTCTAAAACCACCAAACTGTGTTCCAGGTAGCCAAGTCCTGCTTGAGAGAGTTGTGGTTTTCCTAGTACATATTATATGAAATGAGGAGACCACCCAGTTTGTTCTCTCTATAAGCTATTCGACCCCTAGCATGGGGATATCATCCACTGCCACTGTGGTCGGAAGCTGTAATCAACAAATAAAAAAGATTGAATTAATTTTACAAGGTAACAAGAAAACGATAAACAAAAACAGAAATCCCAGTAACAAAATGCTGAATCATTTAATTGATGCCGAGAATAAAAGGCATATATGCTAGAGAAAGAGTTCAATAATTTCAAATAAAGCGGAGCATTCAATACTAAAGTTTGTTGTATACAACATTTTGGGCATTGGGATATCCAAAATAACATCGGAAGTTAGTCTAGTTTACACACAACTTCAAAAGAAAAGAAAGGTATCTTTCTAATTTGCTTCTATTTTACTTTCAACCTTAACAGGGGCATTCGATAAGGACATACAAATGTAAGTTGGAGGGTATCGTACATATTAAGGAAGATATTTCTAGCCATAGGTTTCTTTTTCTAGTATTCACATTGAACCCTAGGGCTAGGGGTAACTTTGCCTATTAGAAAAAAATATAGTAACATATCAACACTAGAACACAATATGACCCATTACAAATCTGAAGTGAGTTCCCATTATCTACGCAACATATAGATTTGTTGAAAGAGGTTGTACATCGATCTTGGAATGAAGTCGAACTTTATAATGTTACTAGCAAGCCTGTAAAAACCTTGAGCAATATGCAAAAGGGCAAGTGAAACCATCAATCATTTTGCACGAACTGGAAAGGTTCTTCTTGCAGACTCCGCTTAAGAAAGGAATAACCACATTTTAGTTTTAAATATGTTTTTAATTTGGATCATTCATTAAAACCGTCCCGGTGCTTCTGATTTAGGAGTTCCTTCACTATTTTTTTTTTTTTTTTTAAAATAAAAAGACATTTGTTACCAACATTGTCACCTTTTCATATCCGAAAATGCATGAGCTAGTGATCAGAGTGTCCTTATCAGTTTACCCATAAGCTCATTTTAGAACCTTGTAAGAGAAACACTTCAACCTTTTCAACTTCTAGCTTCGATTTGCTAATGCTACCCACTTTGATTATTAGCTGTTTAAGAACTATGAAGCTAAAATTTACACAAGTCAGCCAAATCAAGAACCATGTACCTCTTGTCATTACATTAATCCATACACAAACAAGTAACTCACACTCCAAATTGTTTGTTCCTTCTCTAGATTCCAAAGAATCATTGCCAAGTTACCAACAAAAGTGTTGCCATAACAGGTAAAACCACCTTTCTGCTAAAAGCATTCCGTTGCACAAGCCCCGACAACCTCTTAATTCAAACAAATATCAACAGATCTCTTCTTGAATCTATTGATAATCTACAATTTGGGGGAGTCATCGGAAATAAATACTGTCGTCGGTTCAAATCCAAATATTCATTTCAATTCACTAAAAACAACAGGAAAGAGCTACTTAAAGTATCTAATTCTGATTTCAATTTGACTTATACTCCATTCAAAACCAAAACACCAGCCTTGATCTTATCTGACTATTACCTTCCAACTTCGAGTTCTCTACTGGCATGGCTTCAACTACATAAAATCACTTAGAATAAAAGCAAAAGTTTCATATGCAACAAGCCTTTAAATGCGCGAGCACACGAAAAATACAGAAATCTCACATCATCATCATCATCACAAGGACAAAAACGACACCGTACCTCACCAACCTGCACAGCCTTATCCTTGCAGGATCGAACGGTCAAGAATTGATCCACATCAAGCTTCTTGTTGATAATCCCAACAGTAAAGTAAATGTTGTCCGATGGCGGCAAATCAACTCTAATTTCATCGACGGTGAACCACAGAAAGAAGAGCCTCTGCACCTGAATCCCTTTTAAATCAGTGATGGAGCCGATATTGAGCTTCCCGGATATCTTTTGCTCGTAGTAAACCAGATAATCGAACTGTATGTAACAGGGCTTCTCAAGGGTGACCTCAAATTCACCGTCCTCTGAAAGTGTGTAGCCAGTGACGGAGTCCGGTAAAAGGCCGCTGGGGAGGCCGTACTTGACGAGAATTTCGTACACAGTCGAATTTGGACCCAGTGGCGCGGCGGCGGCCGTTGATTCGTGGGATGAAGACCACAGGATCACAAGAGAGAGAAGAAGAAAAGAGTAGTTAGACGCCATTTTTTGTTATGGATGGGTGATGAATGATCAAATTTCTTCTTTGGAGGTACTTGGAACACTGTAAACACAATTTAAGGGGAAGAATGTGTTGCACTCCTTTTTTATCTTTCAGTACAAAATTTCTTCTTTCACCTGTATCACTAAGGGGTTGTTTGGTTGGGGGAAAAAGGAGGGGAGGGGAGGGGAGGGGAGGACATTTTTTACTTTCCCCTTGTTTGGTTGGGAATTTGGGGTAGGAGGGGAAGGAAAATTTTAAGTTAAAATTCCCTCCCCTCCCCATTTTTGCTCCCCTCCAAAAGTGGGGGAATTTGGAGGGGAGGGAAAATTTTAATACATTATATTACAATATTACCCTTATTACATAATATGTAAGTTTTTATTTATGACATCATTAAGGATATATTTGTCATTTTAACATTATTTTCCCTCCCCTTTCATTTTCTTACCAAACAAGGTTTACTATTTTCCCTCCCCTCCCCTACTATAAAATCCCTCCAAACAAGGTAAAATTACTTTACATCACCTTCCCTCCCCTCCCCTTCCTTCCATTAAAATCCCTCCCCTCCCCTCCCCTCAGTTGAACCAAACATAGCTTAAATATGTTTTGGGAGAATGCTACAATCCTACTATCGTTCCGTTGTTTTTCTTTTAAGCTGTAGGTACACTTAACCAAAAAAAAAAAAAAAAAAGAATCATTTCCTAATTTTTTGATTTTATTCTAATTAATGATATTTTTTTTTTATTATTTAGATACCTTAATTATGTGGTTATATATTATATTATATTATTTTATTTTGACAAACTGATCGAGATATTATAAAATAAAAGGCACAAACGTGAAAAGATACAACCCGTGATTGTATAAACCGACCCCAAGTTGAGTAAAAGGGAGGACATGTATGTGGTCGCCTAGAAACCCGACACTAGCAACGCTAGAAACCGAAAAGACTCACGACACTACAACACCACAAATTACAAAAACTAAAACGAAAACGAAAAGCTCCCCACAGGAGAATAGATAGAAGAGCTGCTCCCCACAGGAGAATAAATTTGCTCCCGCTCACACTGAGGCCAACAGCCCAGACCAAAAAAACAGAACAAACACTTAGGTAAATACCCAAACCAATAACCTAACACAGACTCAAAACAAACGAAAATGAGAAAAAGAACAAAACAAACACTACACAACTGGATGAGCCATTCCAAAGCTGCAACACCTAACCGAACCAGCGAAATCAAGTCAACTGTGAATCCCGTAGCCAGAAGCACCGACCCCGAAACTGTCAAAACCACTCGGTTGCCTAACGGTGTCGAAACCCCAGCCCCGGAACACCACCAAGTCAACCTTCACCACGACCACAACACTAATTTGCCCCGATCAAGCAAGAAAGTGCCACGACCCCAGCCCCGACCCCGAATATTATTGATTGGATAATATAATTAGATTTGTCATTTTATTTATTTTTCGACCAACATTCGAATTTTCGGTTTAATTGTTTAAGCCGAATTGTTGTCCGTTTTATTTTATTATCGAACATTTGCAAACCGAACCTCGAACCAATCGGTCCAGTCCCTTATAATGTGGTCTTCGGCCCTTTTTAATTCGAGAAAACCGGCCCATCGGTTCAAGAAAAACTGCCCCATATTTTCATGTCCATTGGATCACTTTTGAAATTCAAATGTTGTGACTAAGTTTGGAAGACTTTGAGTTGATTTTTCTCTCCCAAAATTCACGCCGATCAACCCCTTAAGATCCTCTTATTGGTAAGTTTGTTGTGATTTTAATCCTTATCGTAATGAAAATGTCTCCTAATATCTCTTGCTTATAAATCCCTGAGCTCTTTTCTCTCTTTCTCTCTATTGTTCACGCCGCAACCCCTCTCCCTTTTCTTGCAAGAAAGCTGTCGTAAAACCCTTCCCCCACCATCAAAACTCCATCGCCGCCCATCAACACACTCTCTCGGCCGTTGCGAGCCACCGGTTCCCCGCACACCCCGTCGACGCACTCCTCTTCACACGTGAGGGTCAACCGCGATGTTTACTCCTGTAACGCCCCGATCAGTCAATAGATAGAATTGATTCACTTTGCTCGACTATAAATTGAAATTAGTATTATTTGAATTTTTCCGAGTTGCTCGACTATGTGTTATTATGTGACTTATGTGATTATATGTGCTTATTTGCCTTAATATTTTCATGTATGTTAGTTCTATTTTCTCTTAAATTATCGATTGTTTGATAAAATGTTTTAACCTGAATTTTATCGGTTCGAATCCTAACTTACGCCTTTCATCTTGACCCTTAATAACATCTTATTATCAACCTTTTTAAAGTATTTTTCAGCCATTTTGACCATAAAAACCAAATCCATAATCATCCATAAGAGTTAAAAAGCCATGTTACTTTTTTTTTCATCATATGAGCAAATGATATTCGAAATTATTAGATTTAGATTTAGATTGGATCTAGATCTTATGTCCTCTTATGTCATGTTCTTATGTCTCATTTCCCAATTAGTATTTTCATTCAAAACCTCTCCAAGAAACTTTTTCAAACACCCTTAGCAAAATAGAAAGTTGAGAGCATTCTTCAAGCTCCTACCATAGAGCACAACCAAGTTTCTTTGCGTTTTCTTGAAGTTTTGAAGAATTTTTTTAAGGTAACCTTGTTTATATATTTAGTAGATGAAATTAAGTGTTTAATGATGTTTTTATATGCCTTAGATATTCAGTTTTCAAGTGATTATAAGCATGCTAGAAGATAAGTTATTCACAGCTCGCATGTATGTTATATGTGCTCTGTTTTAATGCGATTTTGAGTATGCTATGAAAAACTTGGGAAAGTACGATTTGTATAACTATTTCTTGTGTAAATTTTTAGTACATAGGAGAAAGAATCATGTCAATTGGTCAAGTATAACTCGAGTTATAAATTTTTAAAGTTAGACATGCAAACTGAGTTTTGAATGCTTATTTGAGCTGTGAATTTTGAACTCGTATAAGTCATGACATATGTATGATAAAAATATAAAATTTTTATGACATGTTTACCTATATGTTAAGAGTGTGCATGCCAAATTTCAGAATTTATATTGAGAAATGAATGAGTTAAAAATGCTAGACCGCATGTATGTCAAGCTGATTTTATTTGCAAGAGAACTCAGTCCATAATCAAGCTTTTAATGTAAAACTTTTATGAATATTTCTTCATGCGTTTTGATCGAGATGACCAAGTTTGAGCTCAATATGATAAGTATGGAATTTAGAAAATTCTTAGAAGTTATGCGGGTTATATGCATGTTTATGTGTTAAGGTGATTGAAATGGTTGGCCGACCAAATGAAATGCTTTTGAGCTGGAATTTTAACTAGAGATGCATGACTAAGTGTAGTATTGGACTGCTAAGTTTCAGTATTTTTGGATACATGTGTGATTTTATAAAAAAACATGGATTTTAAGGGCTTCATTTAACTCATATGGTTGTTTAAGTGAGAGTGCTTGAACATGAGTGTTTACTTTTCCATTAGCATCCATTTAGTATGTATACTGAGCCGAGAAAATCATTACCGGTCCTATGTGTTTTTGTGCATCTATGTATTTTATCTGATTACATGTTATATCTCCATTGTCTGCCTAAGTGTTTAGGATTAAATTTCAGTTTTATAAGTCAAGCAAATTACTTAGATATATTTGCTTGAATATTTTTGGTAGCCTGAGGAGAGTCGAGCCTCTGTCAGCTACGAGCATCCACAACACTTGCATATTTTTCCATGCTTATCAGGTGGGGGTCATGTACTGGGTTCTACATCGTCTTTAATTATTTTACCATGCCTGAGGTATGTACGAGACAGTTACATCGCTCAGGATTGGAGGTCGAGGGCCTTAATATTCCACTGGGTCTCGATGGAGGCCGAGGGCCTAAATATTTCAATCGGGGTGTGCACATGAGCGGCCGAGGGCCGAGGGTCTTTTGACCACAGTTAAAGAAAAGTTTACAGTTTCAACTTCTATATATTTAAGTCATGACATTGTAATTATTGAGCTGTTTTATTCAGTATCGGTCTGCGGAGCATTGTGGTTTTGTTCACGCCCCCATTACGTTTTTCTCAGGTGACGGAGTCCAGCGTGCCGGGTGAGCAGACGTGGCGGATGTGGTCATTAGCATAAGAACATTTTTATATGCATTTATTGTCTTTTATTCATGAGCATATAATATTATGTATGCGTGTATTATTTCAGTTTCAGTTTTAAGTTTTCGCTTAACATTCGTAGAAGAATTCTCTCTGGTGGGAGCGATGACGCTATTCTCTCTGGTGGGAGCGATCCATTTTCTGTTTCTATCTTCATTTGTAATCTCGGTTTAGGCTTCTCCTGTTTCATCTCATATTCCTCTTTGCAACCCCCTTTCTTTGATACTAGTATTGCCATACTTCTCTGTGTTCCGATTTTGGGATTAGGGTTTGGAAACAATGGCAAGCGCTCAAGATGACGAGCTGTCTGATCAATTAGAAAGATTCTCTCTTTCTGAAAACGAAGCAAAATTCATAGACATTGCTCACACAGACATCACTCTCAGTGCTGAAGAATGTAGCAAGAGTCTCTTTGGGAAAATTATTGGAGACCGCACTGCGAGTTGGATTGGCGTCAAGAGAACAATGTCCAATATTTGGCGGCTCAATCAATCGATGGAAATTAATGAACTCAGCCCAAACTATTTTCAGTTTATCTTCCAAAGTAAAGAAGACTTACAGAAAGTCTCAGCTGGTATTCACTGGAGCTTTGAAAACCAATATCTTGTCCTCAAGGAATGGAGAACAGGGATTTCAAGTAAGCACTCTTGTTTCAATGAACTGAATATTTGGGTTCAAGTCACTAATGTACCCTTAAATTGGTTAAGCACTGAAGTGGGATTGAAAATTGGCAAAGCTTTCAAACATGTCAAGAATGTAGTTTTAGCCAATGCTGGGAATCATGGAGGGAAAATTATGAAACTGCTAGTTAC